ACCAGGGTAAGTCATCAAATTCTATCAAGTGTGTTTTTAAAGGTTTATTTTATTTTGATTTTCTCTCTCTCTCTCTTTCTCTCTCTCTCTCTCTCTCTCTCTCTCTGTCTCTGTGTGTGTGTCTCTCTCTCCGTGTGTGTGTGTGTGTGTCTCTTTCTCTGTGTGTGTGTGTATGTGTGTGTGTGTGCGTGCGCATGTGTGTGCATGCTCGCAGGCATGTGCACATGAGTATAGGCACCCATGTAGGATAGAGACGTCAGATCCCTTTGGAGCTGGAGGTACAGGTGGTTGTTAATAACTCAGTGTGGGTGCTATGAGAGAAACTCAGGTGCTCTGCAAGAGCAGTAAGCCTTGCTAACCACTGACCTTTTACCAAGTTTTAAAATAAAAGCTAATATCAATGTTTATAAACCTGTTTTATTAAATAGCAAGGGAAGGAACACTGTTCTAGTTTGCTTCTCTCTTGGTGTGATAAACATTGATCAAAATCAATTTGGAATTGGAAAGGGTCTGTTTGACTTACAGGCTAAAGTCTATCAGCAAAGGAAACCAAGGAAAGAACTCAATGCAGGAACCTGCAGGCAGGAACCAAAGCAGAAATTGTGGAAGAATATTGTGTACTGGTTGGCTCAGTTTACTTTCTTATACAACTTAGGACCACTTATTCAGTGTTAGCACTATGCATAGAGGGCTGGATGCTCCCACATCAATCACCAATCAAGAAAATGGCCCATAAATTTGCCTACAGCTTAATCTTACCAAGGCATTTCTCTAATTGAGGTTTCATGTTCTTAGATACCCTACCTGTGTCAAGTTAACAAAAAACTTAACCAGCATTGGTTTTAAAGACTCAGTGATGAACATAAATACAAAGTTCTCAATAAAATACTTGCAACCTAAATACAAGATATGTTAAGCTGATCAGAACTCAAGTGAGTCCTATCTTAGAGATGCAAGGATAACTAATAATACAGTAGTCTATAAATGCCTTGTGACATAAATAGATGAGCAACGAATTCACATAATTATGCCAGTATATTCAGAAAATATCTGCCAAAATTCAACATGCATTCATGATAAAAAAAACCTGAGGGAATTAGCAAAAGAAAGAACACATAACAATATAATAAAGGCTACATAAAAGAAACATAAAGTCAATCTTACATTAAAGAAGGGAGATAGCTGAAAGAATTTCCTTCAAACTGAGGATTGTTACAATGTCTTAGCAAAAGCAATGATGCAAAGAAAGAAAGAAAGAAAGAAGAGTGGAAAAGAGACAATGAAAGGAATGCTGTTAGGAAAGAATAAATTGAAGTATTAAAGTATTAAAAACCTTAATAACTGCATCCAGTAGCTCATACATGTGATAACTACTTTAAGTAGTAACAAGATAAAAAACTATATTTTAAAATTCCTGTAAGATTTATAAATCGCTAACGGACATATTGAAAATGAAATAAAAATAATATCAAACTAGCAACAGACCTAACCAGCAGGTGAATTAATTCTCAGGTGGAAAACTAATTTGGCTCAGCCAAATTAGTATTGTGAAAATTTCTAGAATCCTTAAAGGCATGTAAGAATTCCACACAATCCCTATCACTATTTTAATGAAGTTATTCACAGAAATACAAAATATTTAAATTCACATGAACAGTGCTGCATTTCCAAAGCAATACTTAACATAAATAGAAACACTGTTGGATTCCTAATGTGATATCAAAAAATATTCTGCCACAAGGTGATAGTGCAACAGTGAATCTCATGCAGAAAAATTCTGATAGTAGGAGATGGCTAGGTGAAAACATTGGTGAGGATTCCTTCTAGGCTGGTATGGTTTGATAGAATAAGACCCCTGAGAGGTCTCCTAAGAGAATGATGGCCTAGGCCATCCAACATCCAGAACAGCTTTAAGACAACTGACTCAGACATGCAGCCTCACAGACTAATACAGCCAAGATTTAATCATATTTATGAATTTTCTTAGGATTTCCCGAGCCCCCAAATAGCAGGAAGTAGTATAGAAAACTATGTCCAAATTTCCAAAGTATTATTTATAAATGTTTGTTTTCATTTAAAATGTGTTGCTTATAAATGGTTAATGGTCACAGTCAATCTCTTTCTAAAGAAAATAAAAGGAGATATGACATAGAAATGAGTACTTTACATTGATATGGGTTTTGGTATATGACACAAATTTAAGGTCTATTTTGTTATATTACATGTATATTTTTACTCTTGTTTAAGGTATTGTATTTATGCAGCTCATTTAAAATGTAATGTATAGTGAAATACAAATTAATAGTCATCTATAAATGTCAAACCTATAGTCATGTTGGATTTTCCAGATGTATTTCAGATGCATAGGTAATCTTCAAATACTTCAAAGACCTGCAGAATATGGCATTTAAAATGTTTTAAGAACTTAAACTTTTCCTGACAGTGAGATATGTCTTACCCTAGCAGCACCAAGTTCTTATGGAGTTTGTTTTCAACTATGGCAAGACTAGCCATTTGGGCCCTTCTCTTATCCGAAATGCTTGAATGTATGGTTTACAAACTGGACATGCAGGACCCACAGGAAAGTGACTGCTGAACTTGCCAACACAAGATGGGATGGTTCTTCAAGGTTCCTGCTTCACAGAAGAAACTGCCAGACATTCTGTAGGACACAGAAGAAAGCAACTGATGAACTTTTCTAGTACAAGGTAGAACAGATTTTCAAATTTCCTGCTTCATTGAGACATCTGCCAGATTCTATGAGTCTGTAGGCTGAAGATTAATGCCCCAATATTACAGAAGAGCTTTGGTTAACTGTCCAGGCAGTGAGATGTCTCTGTCCTTTCTAGAGTTTTGGAGGTTACTTACAATGCACTTCTGGCATCTTTGATGGAATTGAACACTAGATACTTATAGTTTTTCTCAGTTATGTAAAAGATAAATTAATATAAAACTTTAGACTCATGAAGTTAGGATAGATGATAGATTATTTTCTTGAATTTTTTCCAAATACAAATAGACTAAATATTGTAACTGCAATTCTTGCTTGCTGTGTTTCTGTCATTGGTTGATCAATAACAGGCTTTTTTGGCCTGTAGCATGGTGGAATATAGCTATGAGGGAAATCCAAACAGAGATATGGAAAGAAAGAAGGAGAAACCAGGAAGACACAATGTAGCTGGCATAGGAGTAAGACATCACAACATTACCAATAAACCACAGTCACATGGTGATACACAATTTAGCAAAAATGAGTTAGTTTACTTGTGAAATGGTCAGTAATGTGCCTGAGCTATCGACTAACAATTATAATTAATATTAAGTCTCTAATGTTTATTCAGGGGCTAGTGGGAATGAGAGAAACCTCCATTTGCATATTCCCATGCTGAAAGCTAGTTAGTATCTAAAAAATGACTAGTTCCTCTTAATGCCTGGGGAGACTCCATTCTCACATGGATTTCAATGTTTTAGAATATAGTATGGCCCTTTCCCATTCTTTATTTTATTTTAGTACTTTATTTTATTTGTATGAATGTTTTGACTGTATGTATGTCTGCCAGAAGATGAGGTAGGATTTCCCTAATTGGAACTAAAGACAGTGTGAACTAATATGTTGGTACTGGAAATGTAACCTGGGGCCTCTTGAAGAGTAGTAAGTGCCTTTAACAGTGGAACCATCTCTCCAGACTTCCTACCCATTATTGTATTTTCACTTGGAGGTGTTCATATTTTCAGTACTCAGCTTTCCTTTCTTCTAGTACGTTGGGTCTTAAGTTGAGTATGTTTACTTTATTGGGTTTCAGTTTTTGACAAGTCCATGAAGTGTTCAAGTGATTATATGATTCTCTGTTTGTCATGATCTTACTGGATAGAGGGAGAGCTTTAACATTGAAAGACATATAGTTGTATACTTTTCTACAATTTACAGCAGAGCAGTACTCCTGAAAACAATTTTGGGATGTTTGCTCTTATTGTCTAGTGAGAAGGAAGTCCAGAATGGTTTCCAAGCAGTGGATTCATATACCTGTAGTTTTATCACCAAGATTTTCTATTTTTTCTATTTTTTGCTGATCTTTGCTTTTAGAGAGTTTCTTTTTCTGTTTATAGACCATGTGTGCATACACATGTGTATGTGCTTGCATGTGTGTACATGTTTCTCTCATCATGTGCATGTGTCTCTATGTGCACATGTGTGTATGTTTGTGTTTGTGTATGTATGTGTGGATGGATGTTGAAGACATTCTTTTTCATCCCTATTTTTGTTCATTACCCCAGTTTTAGGTTGAAGTCTATTCTTTCCTTATTACATGCAATTCAATTTTACTAATTTTATCTAGTCTCTAACATTCTGAACTGTATTACATTCCTCTTTTATCATTTCTTGCTTGTCACCTCATTTTGAAGTCACCTATATGATTTCTCCAGATTCCTAGGAACATAGGGGATGCTGTTTGTCCCCTTTTCACCATCTTCCTCTTCTTTCTTCTAGTTTTTTCATAACTTTGATTCCATTGAGAGGTGACAGTGTAACTATGTAGCTTCTCTGCACTTTAAAAGGATTGCGTTGAGTTTAGAAATGTAACTGTATTGATGAGTTTTCAGAAGTTAATTGTGTCTTCTTTTTTTTAATCACAGTCACCGTCACAGGCACATACATCCCAGTCACCATGTGTTATAAATATTTGGTTGTTCAGGTTGTATCGACACAAATATTACGTAGTAAATTATTATTTCTCTCTTCTATCTTTTCTTCTGAAAGAAAGATACCATTTCTAGCCATTGATTGACTTTCTGTGAGCCTATTAGGAATTGATGTCTAAATTCTACAAGGAACATCAGTTTCCTTTTGACATATACAGATACCTCAGGGGTTTTCTGCCTAGATCATCTCCTTGGTGTTGTTTTCCTGAACCTCTGTATTCTGGTTCCAATCTGAACTTGGTTCTAGGTTCATCCTAATAATTCTAAGCATTGTTCTCTCCATTCCTCATGTTCGATTGAGTCACCCATTCCTGAACCCAATGTCCTTTCTCCACTTATTCACTAAGGACATATCCTTGACATACTTCCCATGAAATGGTACATAACAGGTAAACACTTTGAGACTGCTCAACCCTTTTAGGTAATTTGGATAAGTAATAAATTTGGATGGTATGAGGTGTAATGGCACACATTTTTTCAACTTTTTAAATTTAAATTAGAAACATGCATGCTTCAAATGTCAATCCCAGCTGCCTCCCCCTTGTCCCTCCACCAGCCCCTCCCATCCCCCAGTCCAATCCCCACATCATTCCCCAGGGAGGGTGAGGCCCTCCTTGGGGGGATCTGCAGTATCTGTCATTTCATCCAGGGCAGGACCTAGGCTCTTCCCCATGTGTCCAGGTTGAGAGAGCATCCCTCCATGTGGAATGGGCTCCCACAGTCCATTTGTATGCCATGGTGATCACTAATCTACTATCCAAGGCCCCGGAGATTACTGAGGCCTCCTCAGTGACACTACATTCATGGAGTCTGGATAAGTCCCCTGTTGGTCTCTTAGACGTTAGTCTGGGGTTCAAGAGCTCCCCCTAGTCCAATCAGTTGTCTTTGTGGGTTTCACCAGCAGGGCTTGAACCCTTTGCTAATCACTCCTCCATTTCTGTCACTGGGCTCCAGAGGGTCAGTTCAGTGTTTAGCTGTGAGTATCTGTCTCTGCTTCCAACAGTCACTGGATGAAGGTTCTAGGATGGCATATAAGGTAGTCATCAACCTTATCATCTGGTTGGGGCTATTAATGTAGTTTCTCCGCTATTACTTAGTTTTCCAGTTGGTGTTGTCCTTGTAGATCTCTGGAAATCTCACTAGTGTCAGCTCTCTCCTCAAAGCTATAATGACTCCAACTATTATGGTATCTCTTATCCTTGTCTCCTCTATTCTTACCCTGACTCAACATTCCTGCTTCCCATGTCTTCTTCTAACCTCCTCTTATTCCCTGGCTCCATCTCTTCCCCCCCCCCATCTGCTCAAGAGATCTTGCCTCTTTCTACTTCTCTGGGGTATAATGCATATCTCTTGTGAACCTCCCTGTTTCCCAGACTCACTGGCCTGGGATTGTAGGCTGACACTCCCCTAATCCATGTCTAAAATACATATATGAGTGAGTACATACCATATTTGTCTTTTTGTTACTGGGTTACCTCACTCAGAATGGTTACTTCTAGAGCCATCCATTTACCTGCAAATTTCACGTTTCCATTGTTTTTTTCCGCTGAGTACTATGCCATTGTGTAAATGTATCACATTTTTCTATCTACTTTTCAGTTGTAGCGCATCTAGGTGTTTTCCAGGATCAAGGTATTACAAATAATGCTGCTATGAACATAGTGGAATAGTCATCATTGTTGTATGAATGGGCATCTTTTGGGTATATGCCTAAGAGTGCAAATGCTGGGTCTTGAGGTAGACTGATTCCTATTTTCCTGAGGAATCTCCATACTGATTTCCAAAGTGGATGTACAAGTTTGCACTCCCACCAGCAATGAAAGAATGTTCCCCTTTTTCCATATCCTCTCCAGCATAAGCTGTCATTGGTGTGTTTTATTTTAGCCATTCTGACAGGAGTAAGATGATATCTCAGGGTTGTTTTGAATTGCATTTCCCTAATTGCTTAGGATGTTGAGCACTTTCTTTAGTGTCTTTCAGCCATTTTAGACTCCTGTATTGAGAATTCACAATTTAGTTCACTTTTTAATTGGGTCCTTTGGTGTTTTGGAGACTTGCTTCTTGAGTTCTTTATAAATTTTGGAGATCAGCCCTCTGTCAGATGTGTGGTTAGTGAATATCTTTTCCCAATCTGTTGGTTGCCTTTTTGTCTTGCTGACTGTGTCCTTTGCCTTACAGAAGCTACTCAGTTTCAAATGGTCCCATTTATTGATTGTCGATCTCACTGTTTGTGCTACTGGTGTTATGTTCAGGAAGAGGTCTCCTCTACCCATTCCTTCAAGGGTACCTCCCACTTTCTCTTCTTACATGTTCAGTGTGACTGGATTTATACTGAGGTCCTTGATCCATTTGGACTTACATTTTGTGCATTGTGATAGACATGGATCTATCTGCAGTCTTCTACATGCCAATGTCCAGTTATTCCAGCTCCATTTCTTAAAGATGCAATCTTTTTCCATTGTATAATTTTAGCTTCTTTGTCGAAAATCAGCAGTTCATAGGTTTGTGGATTAGTCTCAGAGTGTTCAATTTGATTCTATTGGTCTATCTGTCTATTTTTGTGCCAATACCAAGCTGTTTTCAGGACTATAGCTCTGTAATACCCCAAGGTATTTTATGTTGTTTGTGGCAATTATAAAGGGTGATGTTTCACTGATTTCTTTCTCAGCCCTTTTATGGTCTGTATATAGTAGGGCTACTGATTTTCTTGAGTTGATCTTGTAACCTGCTACTTTGCTGAAGGTGTTAATCAGCTGTAAGAGTTCCCTGGTAGAGTTCTTTGGGTCATTTATGTAAACTATCATATCATCTGCAAATAGTAAAAGTTTGACCTCTTCCTTTCCAATTTGTATCCCCTTGATCTCCTTTTGTTTTTGTATGGCTCTCACTGGAACGTCAAGTACAATATTGAAAAGGTATGGGGAGAGCTGACAGTCTTGTCTTGTTCCTGATTATAGAGGAATTGCATTGAGTTTCTCTCCATTTAGTTTGATGTTGGCTTTTGGTTTGCTGTATATAGCTTTTATTATGTTTAGGTATGTTCCTGTTATCCAAGGTCTCTCTAAGTCCTTTATCATGAAGGGGTGTTGGATATTGTCAAAGGCTTTTTCAGCAGCTAGTGAGATGATCATGTGATTTTTTGTTTCTCTGCTTGTTTATATGGTGGATTACATTGATAGATTTTTCGTATGTTGAACCATCCCTGCATCCCTGGAATGAAGCTTACTTGATCATGGTGGATGAGTTTTCTGATTTGTTCTTGGATCCCATTTGCCAGTATTTTATTGAGTATTTTTGTATCAATGTTCATGAGGGAAATTGGTCTGAAGATCTCTTTCTTAGTTGTGTTTTTGTGTGGCTTGGTTATCAAGGTTATCGAAGCCTTGTTAAAAGAGTTTGGCAAAGACCCTTCTGCTTCTATTGCGTGGAATACTGTGAGGAAAATTGGTATAATCTGTTCTTTGAATTTCTAGTAAAATACTGCACTGAAGCTATCTGGCCCTGTGCTTTTTTTGGTTGGGAGACTTTTGATGACTACTTCTATTTCCTTAGGGGTTATAGGTCTATTTAAATTGCTTATCCGTTCTTGATTTAACTTTTGCAGCTGATATCTATCCAGGAAGTTGTCCATTTCCATTATTTTCGAATTTTGTGGAGTACAGGTTTTCAAATTATGAACTGATGATTCTCTGAATTTCCTCAGTGTCCGTTGTTATGACTCCATTTTCATTTCTGATTTTATTAATCTGCATGTTCACATTCTGCTGTTTTGTCAGTTTGGATAAACGTGTGTCTATCTTGTTGATTTTTCTCAAAGAACCAACTCTTTGTTACATTGATTCTTTGTATTGTTTTCCTAGTTTCTGCTTTTTTGATATCAGCCTTCAATTTGATTATTTCCTGGCGTGTATTCCTCCTGGGTTTGTTTGCTTCTTTTTGTTCTAGAACTTTCCGTTGTGCTGATAATTCTCTAGTGTAACTATTCTCCAGTTTCTTCATTTGGGCACTTAGTGTTATGAACTTTCCTCTTAGTATTGCTTTCAAAGTGTCCCATAAGTTTGGGTATATTGTATCTTCTTTCTCATTGTATTCACGGAAGTCTTTAATATGTTTTTTATTTCTTCTTTGACCCAGGAGCGGTGCAATTTCATATTATTCAATTTCCATGAGTTTGTATGGTTTCTGCAATTTGTGTTGTTGTTGAACTCTAACTTTAAAGCATGGTGGTCTGATAAGATACATGGAGTTATTCCAATTTTTTTACCTGTTGAGGTTTGCTATGTTGCCAAGTATGTGGTCATTTTTTGAGAAGGTTCCATGTGGCACTGAGAAGAAGATATATTCTTTTTTTTTTTTTGGATGGAATGTCCTATAGATGTCTTTCAAACCCAATTGGGTCATAACTTCTATAAATTCCTTTGTTTCTTTGTTAAGTTTCTGTCTGGTAGTCCTGTCTGGTGGTGACAGTGGGGTGTTGAAGTCTATAAGTATGTGAGGTTTTATGTGTGGTTTGAGTTTTAGTAATTTTTTTACGAATATGGATGCCTTTGAATTTGGTGCATAGTTGTTCAGAATCAAGAGTTCATCTTGGTGGATTTTTCCTGTGATGGATATGAAATGCCTTTCTTCATCTCATTTGATTTCTTTCAGTTTATAGTCTAGTTTTTCAGATATTAGGATTGAGTACCGCTGATTGTTTCTTGGAACCATTTGATTTGAAAATCTTTTCCCAATCCTGAACTCTGAGATAATTAATGTATGTCTTTGAGGCCGAGGTGTGTTTCTTGTCTGCAGCAGAAGGATGGGTTATGTCTTCAACTCTATTGTGTTATTCTGTGCCTTTTTATGGCCAAGTTAAGACCATTACTATTGAGGGATATTAATCACCTTTGATTGCTTGTTCTCTTTTGTTTTAGAATTGTTTTTCTTGGTTGAATTGTATGTGGATTTCTAACCCTTTTATCTTTTGGGTGTTGGTAAAGTGGGATTATCTATTTCCTATGTTTTTTCTGGTTGTAATTAACTTCCTTGAACTGGAGTTTCCCTACCAGAATTTTCTGTAGGGCTAGGTTAGTGGATATGTATTGTTTAAATCTGGTTTTGTCATTGTATATCTTATTTTCTCCATCTATAATGATTGAAAGCTTTGCCAGGTATAGTAGTCTGGGCTGGCATCCATGGTCTCTTAGTGTTAATAGAATATCTCTCCAGGACCTTCTGGCTTTCAGAGTTTTCATGGAGAAGTCAGGAGTAATTCTTATAGGTTTGCCCTTATATGTTATTTGATCTTTATCCTTAAGTGCTGTAAGCGTTCTTTATTTTTTCTGCATGCTTGTGGTTTTGATTATTATGTGGCAAGTGAACTTTTTTGTGGTCCACTCTATTTGGT